TTTTGAAAGCACATAAATTGAGGAATATTTTAAGACTAAAACCAATTCGCTATCTGTATTTTAACTGGTACTTTACTCTTGTATGTATGGGGCGTTCACGTTCGGGTCGGTCAAAGGGGATAAGCACGAAAATTTCATTGTGCATATTTCGAGAACACATTAATCAAGAAACATTTTAAGACAAGAATTATTTTGCTTTCTGTATTTTAACTGATACTTTACTCTTATATCAGTAGTATATAGATCCTTTTTTTTACGTATATCTTTTAAACTATTACAGATAAACTAATTTGGTTTGAGACATTTAAAAGCACATAAAAAGCACATAATTGTACTGTATTAAGTACTTTATTTTTTAATATAATTTTAATGAGTAGGGGTGCTAGCTTATGTTAAGCCAGCATCCCCACTTTTAATTGCAATTTTCCATGAAACCGTTCGAGCACAAAAAACGTGAATAGAACACATAATTAGCACATAAAGAGCATTTAATTTCTACATATGTGTTATTCTGCTTTTTTTGCGGAGGGGGAGGGGTGCTAACTTAACAGACATAATATATTTTGATACATAGACTAAATCACTGAAGATGTTACAAATATTTCTGAAGTTGAATGAGAAATTCTTATTTTTCAGCAACTGTTTGGTAAAGACCCGGAAAGATTAATAATCTGTTTAAAAGGAAAGAATAAGAGTTTGGAAAAAAATAGTAAAAGAGTTATATTAAACTAGAGCACCTAGCTGTATCGCATTGCCTAAAAAAAAATTAGAAGGCACCTTAATTTCCCTTATCCGAAGGTTGACTTCAATAATCCCTTCCTAGGATCCCTTCCTAGAATTAATACTTTCTAAGATAATTGGCAGAGATAATTTGCAGAAATAATTGGCACACGAAATAAATCTCATAATAAAACCTATATATGTATATGTATATGTATATATTTGTTCATATAAATAAAACTACTTTTTTATGGTAATTAGTGTAGTGCATTTTATTGAAAATAAATACATACTCCCTGAAATAAAAATAAAATATCAATAATAACTTTAAATAAACGTTAGAATTAATATTACGGTAATCTTAATATAATATTGTAATAAAGTTGATAGTTTGTTTAAATTTTTATCTCAAAAACGTTACAGGAATGATAGAAAAACCTTAGCAAAATGTTATTTGCAACGTTATGGCACTCCCATTTCAACATTACTGAAATTTCGGAATCGTGGTCAAAGTATATTCATAATGATGTTCTATACAACATTAAGAACTACATATTTAACAACATTACAAGTTCTAGAATATCGTTGCAATAACATTGTAATAATGATTTTTTGCTTACTGGGTAGTCATACCTTAAAAAGTGATCACAAGAGTTACCTGACAGTCAAATTGATAAGATATACGACACCATCTCTCCGCGTAATACAATAAGTATTACGCGGCATTTTTGATTACTTGTGACCACTGCATTTCACTCGACCAGCTATATGTACTGAGGAGGGTCCAAATCAAGGACCGAAACTTTATTATATATATTTTATTCAATTTGTAATATTTTATTACTGTCGCCGTCCATCGTCGCGAACGAGCTCTCATTTGCCTTGTTTTTATTTATTTATCGTTATTGAGAGCGTTATCTTTGTTATTTTGGCAGAATATACCGTACATCTGATTTATCAATCAAACATTTTTCGAAATTCGTAACGCCAAAATGGACTGTATGGCCTACATCTCACAGCACGAAGCTATAACAGTTTCACAATCTCCACTTAACTTACCAGTAATTATTTCTATAAATATTTATAACATAAATTAAAAACAACTTTAATAATATTGATAATAATTATTTACACTTTATTTTAAAATATTTATTATAATTTTTTAGATACTTTCATTTTCCGGACATTATAATATTTACAAAATGTTCAACGTATATATTTTCAAAATATTTAAATCTTTTTTATAAATATTTTATAAATATTTTATAAATATTTTGTGCTGTCTGGGAGTTTAGCGCGCTCGACTGTTCTTTTTCTGACGGGCAGATGCTGGCACGCTTTTTTCGCATTTCTGTCACTCGGATCTATACGGCAAAAACAACAATTTAAGCGACATTATACACTTGTGAAATTTTGCTGCAAATATGTTTCAAGAGTCTAGCACACTCGACTGCTCTTTTTCTTACGGGCAGATGCTTGCACGTTCTTTTCACGTTTCTGCCGGTCGGATCTGTACGGCAAAAACAACAATTTAAGCGACATACACTTGTGAAATTTTGCTGCAAATATGTTTCAAGCGTCTAGCACACTCGACTGCTCTTTTTCTCACGGGCAGATGCTTGCACGTTCTTTTCACGTTTCTGCCGGTTGGATCTGTACTCAAAAGATAATTCCATATTGTTTTCACATTTCTGCTACATGTTTACTTTTAACAAATAGTATAAAATTTCACAGTAGCTTCTTACAGCAGACTACTGCAATAGTACAGTAAGTACTCGTTCAATCACAGATATTATGCACTTTTGTCGCAATTCTGGACTGATTTCTTGCGCACTTCTTCGGGACGCATCTGAACTAGCAAACTGGTTACCAGGGCAACTAGTTCGTCTGAGACGTTAGCATTCAGCCATGTCTCAGAAACCGAGATTATATGATAGAAGTGATTATGGAAATAAGATCGAATAAAGTCAATATGACCGCGAAGAGAGTTCGCATTAAAATGTGCAATGCCGAAGTGCGAGGTTCGCAAAACCGGACGACGTAATGATACAGAGGATGGTGAGCGACCGGAATGTACACGTCAAGCAAGCAAGTCAAGATCAGTACTAGTATTAATTTGTATTACGGGCCCGCCATCCGACTGCCTGACCCGAACGCGTCCATCCTTCACCCATACGTACTTAAACAACCTTTCCCTGGCAACGCGTTTCGTTTGCTGAAGCAAGCTATAGGTTTCCTTCGGAAGCAGTTCGTTGACGTAAACTGCCCGTTCAGAGTCATTATCGCAAACCTCTCTCTGTTTAAGAGTGCGCCGAGCACGCTTTTTGGTAATGACAATATCACGCACAGCCGAAGAAGCTAAAGTAACAACAACCGAAGAAGAAGACGGCGGTGATGTGCCAGATGCCTCAGAGGGAGGCTTACGTTTGACAACTCTGACATCAAGAACATGGCAAGTCAGATCAGGAATGTCAAGAGCAGCGAATACATTGCGCACGCACACCGAGGGAGCAATAGACAATACACCTGGCAGACCCGATGTTATCAGCTCATTCTCAGATTGAGTCGGCGGAACAAGCAAACGACCTTGATCACCTCTCAGCTCACAGATCTCACTCCTAAGAGCAGCGCATTGCTGCTCCAACTCTACAATACGATTACTGTTGGACTCGACTCTGCTCGCAATACAACTCAGCTTATCAAGCTTATCCATAAGTTCGCTGTTAGTACGCCGCTGCTCCTCAACAAAAGCAGAAAAACGACTATTCGACTCACGCAACTGCTCATTCAAGTTAACGCTAGACGCACTAAGCTGTTCCGTTAAGCGAAGCAAAAGCTCATTGGTAGAGCCGTCACACCGTGATTGCGACTGAGCCTGCGATGGAGTACCGGTGCACACAGGAGAAGCCATCACGTCAAAGCTGAAAGACGGTGAAGTATCACTAACCTCAGGAGTAGAAGGTAACTTTAAAGACAATGATCTGCAGCAAGTGTCAGCTTTTATGGTAACCGCGTATGGCTTGACGCAACCCGGATGAAATGATCTCCCACACTTACACTCAACAGAGGCAGTCGCAATCGTTTTTTTGCACCTAGTGCACGCACTCTCTCTCAACATACCTAACAAACCACACACACGGTATATGTCAGAGAGACGAAGAGTCAAGCCGCAACACTCACGCAAAAGGTGATCGCACGAAAATAAAATAAAGTGCAGTAGCAAACGCAAAAGGATTAAAAGATATTAAAATTTTTTAATACTTTTGAATCCCTTTTTTGGCGGAATTAGATGAAATTAGATGGGATTCGAAATAAGATGGTCCAATCCCATGGAATCCAAAAAAGAAAAATTTCAATTTCATCCAATCCTATGGAATCCGTAAAGGTTATGGAATTGCATGGCATTAGATGGTTTAGAAAACGTCTCGCGCCTCCGTTGGGCGACCAAGCGCCGTTGTTCGTCGGTGAGCTTTTGTGTATGCCTAAGGGCATTACACGCACTACTGCCGACGGGCAATTAGCCCGAAAATGAGATTTGTAAGATCTGTCAGGCACCGTAGGGGGTCCCTTTACATAGCGGTCGAGACGAAACTTTGAACTCGAGAAGATGCCCCGGCGATGCGACGCCTAGCGGCGTCGACGCGAACTGCCGGTAATGCAGATACCGCGCGGGCGTGTACTATTAGTGGCGCGTACCGCCACAGAGTTAAACACGGACACTTTTTAATCCCTATCTTGGCATTCAATGGTACTCATTTTATTGTCAGAATAGACGGAATTTAATGGAATTCAATACGGAAATTTTTAATTTCTAGTTTGGCATTCAATGGTATTCATTTCGTTAATGGAATCAATGGTATTCAATGGAATTCATCACGAAACTTTCCAATCCC